AAAAAAAAAAAAAAAAAAAAAAAAAGGAGATTATATGGGCCAAGCAAGATACAGTTTGCAATTGCACTCTGGGCAGCGAACCTGGCCAGAAAGCTGGGTTGTATACATTGCCCAAACTGCAATGTCGATACTGTATCTTGCTTGGCCCATAGTGCAATTATAATCTCCCGCCTAGGTTCCCCCCACTAGCATCGTTTTTCATTCAGTTGTGATCATTGAGCTGACGGGACCCGGAGGGCGACGACCAACATAATTATTCAGCTCAGCTCTGGTGTCAATAGCATCTGTTTTTTTTTTAAGCTGTAGCTGTGGTGGCAATAGCGTCCTCTTTTTTTTTCAGCTGTGGTGGCTATCGCATCTTTCCTTTTTTCAGCTGTGGTGGGCCTGGTGGCTATATTATATATAGCATCCTTTTTCAGATGTGATCGTTGAGCTGACGGGCCCGGGTCCCGCATAATTCAGAATGATTGCCAAAATTTATATATATATATATTTTTTTTTGAAGATTGCCAAAATGACTAGACGGGAAGAAGAAACAAACAAACATTCTGAAGCCGAATGATCTTTTTTTTTCTGCTCTGAGTCACCTGATTGCATCTGGACTCGAACTCAGCCCATATTTCGACAGTTCACGGTTGAGATCCGCGTGCCCCGTGGTCCGTTTCGGTGGTTTTTTTTTTTTCGCTTTTCCGGTTTTCTGGTTTTCATTTTTCTTTTTCCGTTGTTGTTGTTCTCCTTATCTACGCTACATTCTTCTTCCCGTTTTTTGTTTTTTTTTTTGGGAATTACAGAACATCAGACAGGCGACTATCCGAGGGGTGATTGATACAAGCACTTCCCGGATTGGGGCCTGCGTTAGATGACTCCGATCATCTTCGGGTTTTGTTCTCCCACCGGCTTGCTTTCTTTTTTCTTTTTTTTTCTTTTTTTCGTGCGTGTTCGTTTGGAACGACACAGAGAAGGGAAGCCACCTGATTGCGTCTCAGGGAGCTTGTCCTTCGGGACATTCCTTTAAAATTGGAACGATACAGAGAAGATTAGCATGCCCAACGATGACAAACATAAATCTAGATATCGTTCAATTTTAAATAATAATAATAATAATAATAATAATAATAATAATAATAATAATAATAGAAGGGAAGCCACCTTTAGACAGAAGATTGAATTTACCTGGACTGGGTAGTCCGATGATAATACCTCAAGGACATCGCCCTTCAAATAGATTAAAAAAACAGAAGAAAAAGACGTATCATCATAGACCGGACTGTCCTCACGTCATCGAAAGCTCCTTTTTTTCCCTTAAGCTCCGCTCCGTCGCTATATTTAGTCTAATATCAGATTGGCACAACTGGACACACTGTCAGGCGGAAATTCAATATGAAGAAGTGACGAGCGTCGAGCAATGACCAACTTCAAGTTGCTTCCGAAACAGGCTCATTCGGAATAATGCGTTGCAAGTTACAACAGCGAAAGTCGTGTCTCTAATGCTCGTAGCCGCTCTCTCTCTCTCTCTCTCTCTCTCTCTCTCTCTCTCTCTCTCTCTCACACACACACACACACACACACACACACACACACCTGGCTACACAGGTGGATCTCTTACACACACACACACCCGGCTACACAGGTGGATATAAGAGATGCTCTCTCTCTCTCTCTCTCTCTCTCTCTCTCTCTCTCTCTCTCTCTCTCTCTCTATCTATCTATCCTCCTCCTCCCCCAGTTCTCCTTGATGAGTCAATGCATGGGCTCAGTCGCAAGTCGAGCTTCCATGAACTAAAAGGAAAAGGATGACAATCTGTCAGACCCAGAAACTTCACCGAAAGGTGAAAGGTGAAAGCTTGATAATGGAGGTCGAGTTCCTCCCGACTCCCAAATCCTCCGGCTACACCTACTACCTTCTCCGTGCCTAAAAAAAAACGTTCAGTCCTAAACTTTGCGCTTTACATCTGTCTCTCTCACGATCTCAAAAACGAAACGGAACAAAGTTCAACAAACGGAATAGTGTCGGCAAATTGATCTAGCTGCGGCCGCCTCCCAAGTAGCAACCGCCCACCTCAGCAACCTGTGCTCAATCCTCATCACAGTCTCCAGACCATGATTATTTCTAAACTCTTCTAGCGCCCATCTTCTCTTATTCCCTGATCTTAAGAAGATCGGCGGAAAAAAAAAAAAAAAAAAAAAAAAAAAGAAAGCGACCATGAGGAGGGCTGACCTCCTACCACCTCCATCCTCGCATTTCTGGCTTCCCATCTGTAAGCCAATCTTTCCCCCTCCTGATCTACACACCTACACATTGACGAACACTCCCTGCAGCAACGGCTGGTCGTTCAACAGCTAATTACAAACGTTCACGTCCTCTCTCTCTCTCTCTCTCTCTCTCTCTCTCTCTCCTGTCTCTTATACACATCTAGATGTGTATAAGAGACAGCTCTCTCTCTCTCTCTCTCTCTCTCTCTCTCCACACACACACACGCACCACTTCCCCCCTCATCTGCGTTGTTTCCTTCTGCATTTCCCTCGACGAACTCTCTCCCTCTCTCTCTCTCCACACACACACACACACCACTTCCCCCCTCATCTGCGTTGTTTCCTTCTGCATTTCCCTGGACGAACTCTCTCTCTCTCTCTCTCTCTCTCTCTCTCTCTCTCTCTCTCTCTCTCTCTCTCTCTCTCTCTCTACACACACACACACACACCACTACCCCCTCATCTACGTTGTTTCCTTCTGCATTTCCCCGCACGAACCAGTCTCACACCGTTCATTCTTGCATGTGAAATCCACACTGGCAGTGCGGACACCACAGATGGACAAAATGAATGCCATCACCCTCCTATGATTCAGCAGGTGATGCAAACTGCCATAACTCCTCGTGAGAAAAGGAGCAATCCGCCTCCTTCCTCGTAACAACAGGTCCTCCCTGGACTTTGGCTTGAAGTTGCTTCAGATCATGCATGTGCTGTCCTGTCTTCTTTGAGCCTGCACCACTCTGCTCCTCCTCCTGGATGTCGCTGCCACGTCGTCGATCTCACCACGATCCTCCTTCGGTCCTCCTTCGGCTGCCACGTCGTGCGAAAATGACTTCGCCTTGAAGTTGCTTCAGATCATGAAATCAACCAAAATTTAATCTGGTGGGACTATCGTCCATAGCTCCTCGTCCTGCCGACTCCTGCTGGACATCCGTCAGACTTGGAACGATACAGAGAATGAAGAGTAGCATGGCCCTCAGGCTGCACAACGATGATGGCACGCATTGGAAAAAAAAAAAAAAAAAAAAAAAAAGCAGAAGAAGAAGAAGAAGGAGAAGAAGAAGAAGAAAAGAAAAAAGAAGAAAAGAGGAGCATCTCAAATTTCAGCGGGACCATCGCAAACAATCATGGTGTTTGGACAACGTCTGCGATGATTACCCATCTAGGAATCCGATTGGACGAAGGGTCTCATCACCACAACACTGTCGAAACCGAAAAACGAACGATTCGAAATGCATCATCCCGCGTAAAAGGGGGCTAGATGCATCTGTTGCTATGAATTATAGCAACGGATGCATCTTACCACTGATCTGGGGCAGATGCATTCGATCTCGTTTTTTTTCGCTTCGGCCGTCACGGTGGTGTGGCAAGGGCAGCGAGGCCCTCGATGTAGCAGAGGGCTCTCAGAGGGCTGAGAGCCTCAGGGTGATCACCATCTTCACGGCGTTTACACGCAAAAGACGAAAAGTAGCAGAGGGGTCATCATCAGACGCATCACAACGCACGTCGTGGAAGTCGTGCAGCAATAAAAAATACAAAAAAAAAAAAAAAAAAAAAACGCTCTCTGAGAGTCTCTCGTCATCGACGTCAGGGCCTGTCAAACTCTGCGCGCCATCTTCGGTATCATCTGCCGGGAACTAGGCTCTTGTACCCATTGAAGTCTGCTCATATTCGGCTGCTCTTTGAAGACCATGCAGAACTCTCCGATCTTCTCAAGATGGCCCTTTCTGCCCGCGCGCAGGGCCAAGTTCGTCTTCTCGAAAGAGAAGAGCCCATCGGTTAGTCGCACGATATCCCCGGGCTTGAAAGCGTCGATCTCGCTGCCGCACAACTGCAAATTAACGGCCGCAGTAGAATCCGCTACCAGAGCCGTGCAGATCCTGCCAGCGCCATGATCGCCGCCGATCTTCCGAGCGTCAGGCTTCTCGAGAACGATGAAAACAGTAGTCACATGATTGCCTGGCGATGGCCGCAAGTCCTCAATCATTACACACTTCGACTGAGAGGAAGATCTGTTCGACATTTTGCTGAGCCTCTCTCCCTTCCCAGGTTCTCTCTTTCGATCAGCCTCCCTCGCCCTAGTACGTCCTCTCTCTCTCTCTCTCTCTCTCTCTCTCTCTCTCTCTCTCTTCGGCCCTCCCTTGCACCACGAGCTCTCTAAGACTCTCTTCGCCAAGCCTCTCCCCTGTCTCTTATACACATCTAGATGTGTATAAGAGACAGCACATACACTCTCTTCCCCCCCCCTCTCTCTCTCTCTCTCTCTCTCTCTCTCTCTCTCTCTCTCTCTCTCTCTCTCCCCCGGCTCTCCGTTGCACCACGAGCTGTCTAAAGACTCGTCGCCATCCCACTCTTGGGCCTGCCTGATCGACAAGTTTCGCACGCTAGTCGCTCGGTAGATGGCCGTCGCGGCTGTTTAGCTGGCTGGGTGGCGTGCTCCTCCTCATAGTCTCAGACTGCTGTTTGGCTTCCCTCTCCCCCTCCGTAATTGCGTCCCCCCCCCCCCTCCTCCTTGTGTGAGATCTCAAGCGCTATGCGCACCTTTGTTTCAAGCGTTATCTGCCCCTGTGCCCCGCCCCACAATTGTTCTCTCACAGATCGGCAAGACTGGCAGTTCCTTCACTAAATAGGAAGTGGATAGGGATATGGCTCTGCCTCCTCCTCCTCGAATCTCTGTGTCTTGCCTAGGGAGGACAATGTTTTTGCGAATGCGCTCTCGGTCCTGGCGAATTCGAAGTGGAACCGAGCAACGGTACCTCCTTCCTGCAAATTTGGAGGGACATCCGTCAAATTTCCAAGGACACGGAGAAGGGCAATAATTGCCATGGCCCTGCACAAGCAACGAAGGGGCCGGGAGGGGGGAGGGCGGAGGGGGGGGGATGCGATAATGGCAGGCAGTTCACACGATAGAAAAAAAAAAAAAAAAAAAAAAAGGCAGGCAGGCACACCTTGGGAATGACGACGACAGCGGAAGTCATCCTTTGACGGTACAGCACATCGCGCGAGGACGCCAGGAAGTGAGTGATATATATCCACAACGCCGCATACCTTTCTGGGCCTTGGCTAAAAATAGAACAACTGTTGTATAGTATATATCTGTTCGGATCAGTTTAATATCTGATCCGAGGTCCACTGGGCCAATAAAGAAACACCACTTGCGAAAACAGAAAGTGGTCATATTGATATGTTGCCGTCGCAGCTGGCCGACGCACCCATCTGCGCAACTCCTGTCGCGCCGAGGTTCAGTCCCGACTCGACATCAAGGTGTGTCTCGGGTCGCATCGCTCTTGCGCTGTCTCGTGCTCGAGTGGAGAGCAGCGACAGCTTGCCGCGCTCCCGCTTCCTGCCTCCTCGGACGCAGGGGAGGCAGCGCAGCGCCGGCGGGAGGGAGGGGGTCTACCGTAGGAAGCAAGCAAACGCTGCCGAGGTACTGTTCCCAGTGGACGGCAAGGGTATGAGGAGGTACCCCCTGGAGCTCTGTCCCGGTCTGTCGCGCACGAGCGGAGGGCGGGGAGCGCAGCGAGCGCTCGGGTATGAAGTCCCCACTGGAGCTCTGTCCCGGTCTGTCGTGCATGAGCGGAGCGCGGGGAGCGCACGGAGCGCTTGCTGCGCTCCCCTTTCGTACCTCCTCGGAGCCAGGGGAGGCAAACGCAGCGGAGGGGCGCCGGGTGGAGGAAGCAAGTGCTAATCAGTCTAACCTGGTGCTAGGGAACTCGATTCGAGCTCTCGCCGCTTTGGGTCTCGCCGCACGGCTCACGAAACGAAAACGAGACGAGTGCATCTGCCCACGAAAGGTGGCAAAATACACTCGTTACTCTTTAGAGCAAACCAATGAAACTGGCCATGTTCTGCAGGAAGATTCACTCGTTTCGTTTTTCGTTTCGTGTCCCGTGCGGCGACGCCCTTTGTCGACAGTTTCTTTTTCTGCCTTTGGACATCGCCACACCACTCTCGAAATGTGCAAAATGGGAATGTACTTTCTCGTAGAACACGGCCAGATGCACCAGCCACATTTTTGTCTCTTTCACATTTCAAGAGTGATGTGGCGAGGCCCTTCATGAGATATGGGACCTCGCTGCACTACTCTCCACATGCACAAAAGACAAAAAAAGAAGGCTATGTATCTTTCCATGTTCTAGCGGTGGATTCAGTTCCATTTTGCATATTTGGAGAGTAGTGCAGCGAGGCCCATGGAAGAGTTTGGGATAATGCAGATAATATGGTTTGATAGGGATTTGGACTGACCTGCAGCTCCTTGTCGTGTTCCCCTGGATGGGACAAGGGAGTGGCTCAGCCCGGGGTTGAAGGCTGAGGCCCCCCTGTTCTGTTCGTTCTGGCTTTTTTTTTTTTTTTCCCTTCTTTTTTTCTCCGTTTTTTTTGGGAAAACAGTGAGGGTTGAAGGCTGAGGCCCCCTGGGGCCTAGTCCCACTAGCGAGGTAGGGCCTCGCCACACCACTCACGACTTGGCCATTTTCGGGAGTGCAGCATCGCCACACCAGCTCCCTAGTTCAACCTGTCAGATTGAATTCGGGAGCTGTCAGAATGGGACAGCTCCCGAGAGCACTACAGAACTCACTGCCTGCAAAGCTTTTTTTTCGAGAGACCTCCTTCGCTCCGATGAGTTTGGGCCTCGCCACACCACTCTTGAAAACTCTTTTTCAAGAGTGGGACGCATCGCCACACAGCCTCTCGAAACTTGGGGCAGTCAAGAGCTGTCAGAGCAGCTCTTGAAACCCTTTCAAGAGCAGCTCTCGAAAGATGGGAAACCCCAGCCTGCAACTCGTGCGTTTGCAAGCGTCCTTGGCCGAACCCTTGACGGACTTTCGATTTTCGAGAGCTGTCAGGCCGTTATTGTTGTTGTGACGAACTAGCTTCTGTAATGCGCGACTTTCTGCGCGAAGTGCGAAGCGGGGTCCCACGTCGATTGGACAGGTTGATGGAAAATTGCATGTGTGTCCTTGCTTTCTTCGTTGTTTCTTCGTTCGCGCACGAGCCCCTGATGACAGTTGGGGACAATTCGGGAATGCACTGGGAAAGGGGGTGAAACTTGGTCGGATGGATGCGGAGTGCGAGTGCGCGATTAATAAACGTTGACGTTGCTTCTTTTCTTTCGTTTCCCTTCTTTTAATTTTGTTTTGTCGGACTTTTGGGCGCGCAGACATCGCGCGGGAATTTCGGTGTCTCTTTTTGAATTTCCTTCTTGAATTTTCTTTTCGAATCTTGGTCGGAGCCATACGGCCTTCGGAATTTTGATTTTCTTTTTCGGACCTTTTCATAATATCGGCAAGCTAGCTAGGAATTTTGGAATTTCTGTTTTTCTGGGGCGCTGCTTTGCGTGTTCGCGCGCTCTTTCTTGCTGTTGCGCCAGGACCTTCATTGATTGGCGCCTTAATCCGTTTGCAACTGTAATTTTGGGCGCACACTTTTGTAACTGTATCTTTCTGTTTCTTGCTTCTTATTCTTCCCGCCTCGTTTCTTCCTCTCTCCCCTCCCTAGCTGGGTAGCCGCGTTTGCATGTTCGGATCGATGCGTGGAGTTGGGTACGTCCCCCACGCCGCGGCCCGACCGTGCAAACGTAAGCACTCCCTTTCTCCCATCTATCTACGTCCTTGTAATTCCATGTTCTTCGCGCATGCATGCACGCTATAAATTCTGGCTGCGCGATTAACTTTCTCTCTTCACAGTTGCTGGAAGCTCGGGGTTGCGCGATCGAGAGGGTTGGCACACGAGCGAAGTAAGAGGTGAGTGAAGTGGGAGCCGGGCGACCCGACGAGCTGGTGCCGAATGCGCGGGGTTGACGCGGGCCACGACGGACTGTGGGCGCGGAGCGAACCTGACGGGCGCAGAAGGACTAAGCGGGGTGGCGGCTTCATGTGTTGGTGCGCGACGACGGACTGTCGGCATCGGAGAGAGAGAGAGAGAAGAGAGAGTTGAGGTTGAGGATGGACATGGATTTGCGCTTTTCTTTTGGGTCCTTTTTTTATCTGTGTATATAAATTTTTGTGTCGATTACGGGCAACTCGCCCTTGTCTTTGCGGCCATATACTCGTCCTGTTATTCGATTTGATTCTTTTTTTTGTATCGATGTTTTCTCCTTTTTCGTTCCTTCCCCGGAATCCTCTTTTGCAAATGATGTATGGATGGTTCGCGCACCTTCGCATTTTCGTTTTTGATCGTTTCCCTTTGAACCCTCGTACATGATGAATGAGAATGGGGGTTGCATGTTGGCGTGATCAGTAGAGTGTGTTGGCTTGTCGAATCTTACGGGTAGTCTGGAGCGCACCATCCGACGTGCCATATGGGCACCTGCAAGTGCGATCCGAATGGAGCGCGGCTTACATGTGTCCATACCACTCGGACTCGCCAATCGCGCCGTGGCTAACGCCCGTAGTCAGCCCCTCACTGAAGTAGGAGTCGACGTCAATCGGGATCGGGTTACCCATCACGCGTGAGTGCGACTTGTTCGCATCTCTCTTACGCACTTACGAGCGGTGATCTCCCCGATTAACTTATCCGCCAAGGCGTGAGTGATGAAAGAATGACGAGCTCGCGGAGTTCCGACGTATCCTGGAATTCCGAGGATTACGAGTCGTATTTCGGATACCGGAAAATTTGGGAAGAAGAGCAACTCCGATTACGGGGAAATTTGAGAAACCCGGTGTTCCCCTGCCTCACGGAAAACGATAGATTCTGCGCTAGGGAATTCCATCTCGCCGTACGAAGCGACCCACGGATACCTGACTACCCAAACACGTACAACACCCAGTATTTCATAACCCCCGGCTTCATCCTTATCGCCACTAATTTCCCGCCATACCACCTCCTCCTCCCCTATCATCAGCTTACAGTAGTACCGTGGAATTCCATAGCGCCTTATTGGCCCTCCACCTCTCGCAGAAGCTGCAGGCGACGTGCCCATACCCGAACCCCTAGAGCCTCAGCACCTAGGCATAGTTCCCACCAACCCACGCCACGTGGCGGACCCCGAAGGCGTGGCCCCCAAGGACCGCCTCGATAGGCTCCCCAGAACTGGCGATCACGTCAGGATCGGATGGCCCCGCATAACCAGCGTGCAAGCCCGCGCCCGTAAATTTTCCCATTGCTCTATTGCATCTCTGCCCCTGAACTCGGCCACCGAAGATCCCAGTTCCGACCTGGGACTTCAACCCCCAATTTC